TTCATGTACTTTAGTTTTTATATTCACCAGTTAGGAAGCAATTCATCAATTCCTAACGAACTTAATGCCTACTTTTGGGGAGACTATTTTATACAATTACTAGAGATTAAGTTGAAAATTGATTCCCTTTATGAATGTGAGTCCCGTGTTTTGTCATCACTTATTTTACCTTCTCTTTTCTGTTTTTGTAAGTAACAATTTTTGTTTTGATTTATTTATCTGTTAGGATGCAGTTTTCCAGAAGAATTATGTATTTTAATTAAAGTTCTAAATATTTAAAATTCTTCTTTGTTCAGTTGGGTATTAAACCTCAGGAAAAAATCCGATGTTTTCAATTTTAAAAAATGCCAGAATAAACATTTAAGTGTGGTTGAATAAAATATTATGCTTTGGAAAAGTAAAGAACCTACTAAAAATGTGGTGGAAAATGAGATATAAGGTTGGGGGTTGTGATAAATCTTTTAAGATCTTGTACTTTTTATTGTATGTAATTAATATTTAATTGGCTACATTTAAAAGTAGTGAAAAAATGATCTATTTGCAAGAGATTTGTGCAACAATACTCTAAGCTCTTACTTATTCTGAAGTGTTGAAAGGTGAAACATTTGACATTTTCTTTTCGGGCATTGCTTTAAAAAATAGAGGGCGGGAAAGAGGCGTTGCCACATCAGAGTTGAGGGTGTTTGTGGTTGTCCATGACAGCAGCTCTAGTTTTAAAACACCTGTGTTTACTTTTCAGCTTTTCAGAATCTGCCTGAAAGTGGCCTAAGAATGGCACAGGCCTTCGTGATGGCTGGGTTTTTATAGTAGAGGAAATGCATACACACAGTCAACTTTACACTTTTGTTTTCTGTTTTAGTTCCCTTCTCTTATTTTATACATTTTTCTCTACATATATATGTGTATAAAGTAATGCATCATTTATATAATCTACACATTATACTAGAACATACCCATTTACTTTTTTAAAGATATCTGCTCATAATTTTGCCTTTTGTTCACTGACTAGAAAAAAATGGCTGAGAGCTTGTTACGTATTACTGTATAGATGTATTTTCTTTCATAATCAAAAGGAATTTGTGATAAACGAAAATTCATATTTTGGGGGGGACAAATGAAAGGAAATTACATGAGCCAAATGTGGCTTAATGTGTATTTTATTGTAAATGTTTTTATCCTCTAGTAGGAATTCCTCAATTTTTGCTTTGATACTGGTATTTTTTTTTTTTTTTGCTTTATAGGAATTAGTTTTGTGGGGTTTGTTTTGCTTTGCTTTGTTTTGTTTTTTAGTTGTAGATGGACACAATACCTTTATTTTGTTTACTTATTTTTATGTGGTACTAAGGATCAAACTCAGTGCCTCACACTTACTAGGTGAGCACTGTACTATTGAGACACAACCCCAGCCCTATTGAAATTATTTTTTTAAACATTTTTGACAATTTCAAGGTATAATTTTCTCCTTTAGTATATTTCTTATTATATTTTTTACATTCACATGATACCTACATGTTATATAAACTTTATTCTCAATTTAAAATGTTTCTAGCTATGACATTTTAGCTGGATAAACTTGAGGATCTTCTGGCTCATTCAAGTATTTTTTTCTATTTTTTATATATGACAACAGAATGCATTTCAATTCATATTACATATATAGAGCACAATTTTCATATATCTACTTGCATACAAAGTATATTCACATCATTCATGTCTTCTTCATACATGTACCTAGGATAGTGATGTCCATCTCATTTCACCATCTTTTTTTATCCCCTTGCCTCCTCCCTCCCTCTCCCCCTTCTTTGCCCTAATCTTCCCATGTATTTTTTATTTTTAATTCTCCTATTTCTTTAATACATTGGAAACAAATGTCATATATTCTGTGATGCCCTCTTTCTATATTCACATTATTGACTATAGTAGCAAGATACGTGCACAATTACAGCTACTGTCAAGCCTGTTGGATGTACAAAAGGAATAGTTCTATCTTTTGATAAATGATAGATTTTTATCTATATACTTGAATTTTTAAATAAAAAATTTTGTGTATCAGAAACATTTTTTTCTCATTATTTTTTTGATGGACCTTTATTTATTTATGTGTTTATATGTGGTGCTGAGAATCAAATCTAGTGCCTCACACATGCTAGGCAAGCGCTCTACCACTGAGCCATAACCCCAGCCCATTTATCTGAAATCTTTTACAGTAGCAAATGCAAAATTTGGGTCTTCTCCCTAAAAATAAAAACCAAACATACACAGAAATTTACATATAGCTTGAAGGAGTTTATTTCTTTCCAACCTTTCTGTGAGCCCTAGTATATGAACCTTTGTTCTAGGTCGTCGTCTTCTTTTTTTTTTTTTTTAAGAATTGTTAGTTTTTTAGACAATTGTTTATATAGTATATCACAGAGAAATCAGAATCAAATTCTAGGTTGATTAGGGCATAGTTAGTACAAGACACCATGTTAGGTATTAAATATCATAAAGCAATAATTTCATATTAAACATAAATAGTATTTTAACAATATAGTTCTTCTCCATGATGGCTATATATGTATGTGTCCTAATCCCAACATCTAAATGGGCTTGAAATACAAATTATAGTTTTCTCCTTTTCCAGACACCATTGAAGGTACTAAACATTCAATTAAAAAAGTAAATTATATTATTTAAAAGTAAATTCAATTAGTGTCATTGCATAAAATTTGCAAAAAAATAGTATTTCTATTCAAAAATTGAATGATTTTGATGGAGGTGTCCATCTAGCAAAGAATACTTAGCTATAGATAGTATCCTAAAGGGATTACATATAATAATAATATCACCTCAAAAATAATGTAATCTTGAAGAAAATAGCTAACATTTGAGTTTTTAAAATGTAAAAGCATTTAGGGAAAAACAAAAAGTTTTTTTAATATAGTAAAAGAAGTAAATGATTTTAAGTGGAACAAATTTTATAACAAGTAACATATTACCAAGGATTTATAATAGTACTATATTTATAGCTTAGAACTGTTTTAGGAAGGATAAAACTACTAAGAAAAAGAATGATTTTAAGTCTTCCATTTTTATTCTTTTCTGTGACTCCTGATGAGGAAGTAAAAGGGATAAAGATTCTTTTAGGGCAGTCAGTACATTTGTTTCCAGAAACTCAAATTGCTTAACTTAAATCCAGAAATCTGATACAGTATTTCCACTGGGTGTGTCAGTTTTACCCTGGTGACAATTCCCATTAGATATATGTATCTATGTCCTATTTTTCAGCCTCATTCATGTGTAATCTTTTTGTTGTGTTATTTAAGATTTATAATTCCCTAATGAAAATGTAATATGTGCATCTGTCTTAAGCACATTTTCAACTTCCTTGTATAAAACTGTAGTTCTTTATGAATCTAGGGCAATTTTTCTCAATCTTGAAGCTATTATTGTGTTTGGAATATAGTTTTTTTTTAGTCTCTTGGGTCTTTTATAATTCATATTTCTTTACAACTAATGTTTTTCAATGTACCTTTAAAGGGCACATGGGAAAACTTAAAGATACTCTAAAGTAATTAAAAATAAATAATAAAGACTTGAGGTAAAAAGTAAGATCATTGACCATAAAGAAAGCCAAATTATGTGACTTATAGCTAAATATTTGATAATGTTATTTGGAGAATTATATACTTTTTCTTGTCCAATTAAAAGTAAGTGCCTATAAACTTGCTTTTATTTTAATCATAATTTACTTTCAACAATATATTAATACATTTGCATGTCAGTAAATTTTGTAAACCAAGGATAATTGTATCAGATAGTATATGCTTGTTTCAGGGATCAAAAAAAAAACACACCCCAAATTGTTTAAGTAAAAATGAAATGTATTATTCATACAGCTGAAAATTCCAAAGATAAGGCTAACTTTCAAACATTACAATTAACCCTTCTGACCATAGGTTCCATATCTGTGAATTCATCCAACTGCAGATCGAAAATGTAGTTAAGTTAGGCCTGAAATGGCTGTGTTAATAATGACCATGTAAAAAAAATTGTCATTATTCCCTAAACCATACTCTACAACAATTTTATACTATACAAATACTTTGCCATTTTGAGACTTGAGCATCCATGATTTTGGTATCACAAGTGGTTTGGAACCAATCCCCTGTTGATACCAAGAGATGAGTGTACTTTTTGTTTGTTTGTTTTTAAACTTTTGATCCAGTCAACCTTATAGAGGTATAATGTGCATACAATAAATTACATCCATTTAAGATATATAGTTCAGTGCATTTTGGCAGATCTCTGTCCACCATAATGAAGACACAGAGAACTTTTCTCACCCCACCAAGATTGATTGAGCCTGTTTCCAGTTTATCTGTGACCACAGGCAACCCCTCATATGTTTTTTGTCATTATAAATTTATTTGCACTTTCTAAGATGCTATATAAATGGAATCATATAATACTTATTCTTTTGTATCTGACTTGATGAGCTTGAGATTCACCTATATTTTGTGTTACAGTAGTTTATTCCTCTTTTAACTTCAGGGGAGTCTTAATTAGGACCAAAAAAGCTTTGTTCTATTCCTGGGTTTTGTTTGCTATTTCCTATGTATTGCCCTAATTTTCAGGTTATATGGAAGTAGAAGCTTCAAACTTCCTGTATCCCAGATGAAATTTAGAATTAAAAAAAGTTATTGATCAAAATTTAAAAAGCAAATCCTAGAATTGGGTCTTGTTATTAACTTGGATGGGATTGCTAGAGGTCATGTGCTTGTTTACTTATCTCAAAAATAACTGTTGTGTCCAAAGGAATGAAATATAAGCAGAGGAATGATTTTCTAAAAGAAATGTGAAATACCCTTTAACCAGAGGAACTAAGAAGGAAGATGGAAAAACCAATGGAACAAAAGTCAGATTTCCACTGTAGTATATGTCTTCTTTATTTAACTAAAAAATACATACTGTTATACAATTAAGTTGAAGTTAGTTTGTTTTCCTTACCTTTTCAGCTCTTAACAAAAGATAATCACAGATTTAAGGTATGTATGTTTTTAATATTTACATGTGTTTACATGTATATACACTGTGCTTAATTACATGGTTTATATGGAGATCTGTTGTTTTCCAACTGAATTCCTAGATAGTGTGATAATCTGAATCTTTATTCTCTCTTATGTCAATTTTTATATTATATAGTCTATGTCCTACCTTCTGAGTCTTGATTTTTCATTCTAGAAAATCTTTCATTCAGAACAAAAAGTGTGAATTTTCACTTTTTAAAGTGAAAAGCTTTAGCTTTGTTTCTGGATAGGACAGAATAATTTACAACCGACAAACAATCCTTTTGAAAATAACTTTAAAAATCTTTCCTTAAGAGATCAGAGTGCTAGGGTAATGCTAACTTCTAAGACAGTAGAAGTGAAGAACCTGAAAAGAAAGCTGATTTCTACAGCTACTTTTCTTGTTTAGGCACTTTTGATTATCTACAGGCAGAATTCTGAAATTTCCACCCTATTCTTGGAGAGCCACTGCCAGGATATAAAAGAACTAGCAAATTTCCCATTTATGATGAGTGTAGAGAGCATTAAGCCCACATCCAATAGCCCATTCAGGCCATCTGTCGTTGTTCAGGTAGAAGATTATAAGCATAAACAGAAAGTCTCTGAAAAGTATGATGGAGTTTGCAGCTTTTATGTGTAAACTGGGGGCCATACCTGGCATCTGTACTGCACAGTTCTTTATAGAATTAAAGCCATCAGCTCTTACTCCATCTCCCTGGTAAAGCCGAAAATTCTAGGTGAAATAATGAACTCTCTACCTTTATCTTACACACACAATGGGAGATACTTAATTGAAAATTACCTGACACCAAAAGGACAATACCACAGAATCAAAATAAAACATAAACTGACTCAAAATTGGTCTAATGTTGCAGTTTGATGACAAGACTTTATATTACTATGATTTAAATGTTCAAAAATGAAGAAATAGCTGAAAATATTAACATTTTGTGGGAAAATTTGACTCCCCATAAAATAATCAACTAGAGATTATAATACTGACAAACAGAATAACAAAATTGCAAATGTATTAGTTGAGTTTAGTGCAGAACACAGGATTAGTAAACTAATTAACAAGGGAACAGTTAATTTTTAAATTAAAACAGAGGTAAAAAAGGAATTGGGGAGGGTGAGCATAGCTTAGAAACAGAGCCAATATGTATGTAAGTGGAGTCTCTGAAGGACATGCAGTGACAATGAAATGGAACAGAAGTTGAAATGTAGTAGCCAAGATTTCTCCAAATAAGGAATGTTTCATACCTTAAATTCATGAAGCTCTAAAAACCCCAAGTGGAAAAGAAAGAAATTACCCATGGACACAACATGACCTTCAGAGATAAGGAGAAAAATCTTGAAAGCAAACTGAAGGGAAAAAAACTTGTTCAAACGACAACAATACTGACTGCTAAATTCTCAATAGAGATAGTAGAAGACAGAAGAAAGTACGTATACATCATTAAAGCTCTGAAAAGATTGCCAGTGTAGAAGTATATATTCATTTAAATATCTTTCAAAGTGGAAAGTTATGTATAAACATATTTCAGAGAAACAACAGCAGAGATTAGATACTTGAGGATGTGCATTGAGAAAAATAGCAAATAAAGTTCCTCAGTCAAATGGAAAATGATATGAGCATAAACTCAAAAGATGTAGAAAATAATGAAGAGTGGCCAAAAGGATAAATGTGTTGGCAAATATTAAAATACTGACTAAATGTAGCATATTCAGAGTAGTCAATAATGCCTTCTAGTGATTCAAATGCATGTATGATCAAGTACACGAGAAAAAATAACCTAAGGTTATAAGGCATTACCAAAACAGTTATACAAATAACTATTCATATTATATTGTTATAAGTCAGGTGAACAGTTAGAATTTCCAAGATGATCATGAAAAGAATATTAAAGAATTTATACTTAACTTATAATATGAAGGGGGAAGTTATTTTTTAAAAGTTAGAGCATTATAATTATACATAGTAGCTGGATTTATTCCAGCAAAATCATACATGCATACACTCCATTTCATTCCCTATTTCTCCTTCCTCCTCCCACCCTCCCTTCACTCCACTGATCTCCCCATGCCCATTAATTTATCCATCCTTGATTGGTGCTTTCCATACACACATAAACATGATATTCCCCGTGGTGTCTTTATATATGCACATAGTTATTTTGTTAAATTTATTTCCCATTTCCTCCCCTTTCCCTTCCATCTTCCCTTCTCCATCTTCCTCCATTGATCTTCCCTATATCTTTATGATATTCTATCCCCCTTCTTTCTTTTATTTTGCTCTAATTTCTACATATAAGAGAAAACACTAAAATGTGATTTAATGAATACATTTGAATAATCCAAATTAAATTATAATAGTAATCATAATTCCAAAAATTAAAAGTAATTTATTAATTCAAATGGATGTTCCAACAGGAAAGCAATGATTTTGAGACTACATAATAAAGCAAAACCCAACTATGTACTGCTTACCCAAAATACACAAAAGGTTAAAAGTCACAAGATACAAGCAGATTGGCACATAAATGTTAAACCTGACATATTTATATTCATATCAAAAATAAATCAATTTTCTGTCAGGAAGCTTTATTATAACAACTAATACTAATAAATACCAAGAAGGTATAGCTTTACTAAATCTGTATGCAACCACTAGTAGCTTCAGAATCTTTAAAGCAAAAATAGTTGGAATTGAATGAGAAATTGACATTTACAACCATTTGGTAGGTAGATTTTAACATATCCTTCTTGGTAATTGATAGAACAAACAAATCAAAACCAGAAGGGGTACAGAAGATTTGAACAGTACAGCTAACAAATTTGACCTAATTAATACATACAGAACTTTGTACTCAGCATTCAAGTGCAAATGACACTTTACTAAAATAAAATATATGTTGGGCTATAACACAAGCCTTAATAGACTTTGGAAAACTGACACAATTTAGAATATGTTCCCCAACTACAGTATGATTAAGGTAGTAATTCCCCAGTGCTTGGAAAATAAATAGTTACAGGTAATCCATACATCAATGAAGAAATTACAATGAAAATTATAAAATATTGTGAAATAAATGATAATTTTATTTTGATGTAATATTCTGTGGAACTTTGTTCAAAGAAGCAGTCCATATAGGAAAAGGCATATTCTTAAAATGTATGTATTAGAAGAGGAGAAAGATGAAAATCAGTATTCTAAGATTCTACCTCAAGAAGCCAGAATAGGAATAGCTGAATGACAATAAAGAGCCTGGCAGATAGGGACCTATGGAAAGAGTATGTCAGGGAGGGAAGATAAGTAAACACTCTGGGTCATGAATGTGTATGGTATGTTTAGCAAATAGAAATCCAGGATGACTGAATCATAGTGAATGAGCAGAAACAAATATATAAAATTAGGTCTAAAGGGTAAGCAAGGACATTGTTGTGTTTATATAGTATCCTCTGCAATGATAAAGCTTAGATTTTATGATAAATATAAATCAGTGATGGTTAATAGCAAATGCGTAGCCGTATTCAAAGATTAAGAAGATCACTGGCTACTGGGTGTAGTAGAATTTCTAGAGAAATAAGAGTAGAAATAGAGAAAAGTGTTCAGAGCCTATTATAATAGTTTAGGCAACAGGTAACAGTAGCTTCAGTTTGGATTCTTTATCAGCAGCAGAAAGTACTTGTGGATATATTGTGTTTGCATTGCGTGGAGAGGTATGATAGCAATAGTGAAAGTGTTTTTTGAAGGGTTTTGGAGGGTAACTAAAAGGAAAGAAGAATCAAGAATGAATGTTAAGACTTTAGATTGGGAAAATGGTAGTTCTATAAGGTAGGGATGTTAAAAGGAAATAGAGTAGAATTCAAATTTTTGAGGGCTATGTTAGTTTTATCATCGTATATCTAAGTGATCCTATCGTGGTGGTAGTTAGATACACAAGTTTAGTGTTCTCACAGAAGATCCCAAGGCGGGGACATAAATTTTTTTATTCATATGAGGCATGAGGCTAGTTTATAGTATTCAAAAGAAGAATATATATTGAGAAGAGACAGAAGTTGGAGCTCTGTCATTCCAACATGTTGAGATCAGGGAGAGGAGGGGCCCCTGCAAAGGAGAGGTAGGAAGAAACACAGGGGAATGGAGTACTGCAGAAACCAAGAAAAGCTTCAAGTCACCTAAGAAAATAAAGACAAAATATTTTTTGTTGATTTTGAACTATGTGGTGGTTTGTGGTGACTTCAATAGGAGCACTAACAGTGAAAACATAATAGATATTCTTGTAGAGTAAGCTGAAGACAAAATGTGTAGTGAGGAAGTTGAAATAATACAAATTTTAAGGACTCTTACTGCATAGGTAATTAGAAAAATGGGATGGTAGTAAAAGAAGACATTAGTCAAGGATAAATCTAAGAAATATAAAGTAATGAGGGGTATGCATTCATATATGTAACTATTTTAAATATTTTTTTCAACTTAGCTATTCAAATACCAGTTTATTGAATGAATGAGTGAATGAAAAGCAAAATAACAAAGACAACATTGAGGGCTATTTTTTCATCCTCTTACTTTAAGATATAGGTTATATATAATTCATTCTGCATGGTGAGGTTATGCCAGATCACTTTAAACAAATTTTTAAAAAAGTTTTCCTAGCTCTGTGCCTCAACATAGTAAGATTTCACCTCCAAGCCTCAAGTAAAATGAGCATGCAGGATACTGATCTCAGCCACTTTCATTTCCCTCAAACATTGCCAAAAAGAATAATCTGCAGTATCTTTTTCCTCATCTATTTCTTTTCTTTAACTGTTATCTATTAAAAATAGAGCAATAAAATTCATATGAAATGGATTGTGATAGACTTGCTTTTATATCACAATCTGCAGTTGAACTTTGATTGTAATTCTTTGTAATAAAAAAAGAGTTTGATGTTTTTCTATTCTATGAATTTGTAACTTAAGGAACAATAACATTTTAG